CATGCTTGCCTGCAATAAAGACAAAACTATGTATGTAATACATTGATACATGATTTATGTTTATATAAATTTATGTATTCATGTAGTACTTGAGTTTTGAGTGTGTGAATTCCCATGGCCAGCGATGACTTGGTTTCTTAGTTGTAGGACCAGAAACTCCCTCCTCCTCCTCCTCCTCTTGTTTCTTCTTTCCTTCTTCTCTGTCATTATCATCATCAGCTCTCTCTTTTCTAAAGTTAACATGTTAGTTTCTGAGAGATCTCCTACAAATAAATACATGTACATATACATGCATGTACATATACGGTGCCAAAATAAAATTCAATTTTTTATAGTTGTGGATCATTTGCATGTAGTATATTTAAGTTATTAATAATTTATGTCACTTTAATTCCCAATTAATTTGATATCATATAAGTGGTTTTTTTAGGGTTGCAAATTTCACAAATTCCTTCCTAATTTATGAAAATAAAATTCACAAAAATCAATTTAATACGGTACCTGCATGGCACACATGGTAGAATTTGTGAAATTGAAATCAGCGAATTGGAATTTAAGTAGATTGCGCAAAATATAAAACTTCAAGACTGAGTAATAAACATCTAGATCTACTCAATTTATTACATTCTGTATTATTATAATAAATGACTGTTACCCTTCATATTTCTTTCTTATATCATAGTTGATCTCGTTGACTCTTCTAGTATGGAGTTATCTGCTGAGACCTTGATACCATTGGATGTCATTATGGTCATGTAGAATTTTAGAAGAATTATGGTATTAGTTTTTCCATGCTGGCAATATCAATCATTACTACTCTCATCCAGAAATCATCAGGATGGTTGGAAAAGGGAGGTTTTCTTCTCAAATTTCTATTGTGCCATCCTTATTAACAGCCTCCATAATGTCAGCATCAGCACAATATATCCTTAAGTATTTGATCTTTAACTGTGCCAGTGATTTATCTTTAGGTCTTATGGGCCGCGGGAGCAATCCTTTGTTGATAAACCCATGTTCAAAACTTCTTATATCTTCCGTTATTATCTCAACCATCTTCCACCATTCCTCTCGTTGGCCATAAGTTCTTTCAAACATAATGTCATTATACCCTAAACATACTGCACTGCTTCCAGCCTTCACAATGATGCTCTCAATTACATGCTGCTTTTTGTGATCACCAAACATCTTTGTAGGAACTTGATAAACACAAGAATACACTTCAGGGACCCAATTGGATACTCCACCATTTAAGGAGTAGCAGGTAGCATAAAAGCAAATAACTCTGCCTAGCATCGTTGTATTTCCGTCTATATGTGACACGACCAAGAGTTTGGTGACACGAAAAGGGGTATTTTCTAGGCATTGACTAACAAAGTAGTAGAGCTAACAAGTCACAACCCCCTTTAAGGTGGGGCTACATAGATCTGGAGATCTTGTTCTAGTTCGAGGTCAGTCATTTTCACCTATTCTCTTGCTTTCTGACTAAGAAAACTTCTTAAAAGTAACATACTTCAGTCAGTGGTATTGTGATGATTTTTTTATTCATAGAAAATGGCAGAAAATACAAGTCCAGTTATCACTGCGACTTGTGAGGTTTGTTCAGAGTATTACACTGACCCCCTCATGCTTCCCTGTCTTCTTAACTCTGCCAATTTAAAAACTATACTTAGTGAGCTTATATTTTTACCCTTTATTTATAGAGGAAGACAGTTTGCGTACTATCGATAATTATTATGATGCCACAGGATTTCATTGGAGCTAGATCTATCAATCCTGGTACAATGCATGCAGCTACAGGAATGCAGACTGGATTTTTATAGATCTGTAACAATTGAGGTAAGTGTTTGGACTGAGCTAATAGGAAATGTAAGCATTGTATGTCTTGTACTGTAGATACATATTGATGTCCTTATGCTATGTAGCAAGTTTGAGCTAATTTTAACAATTATTTTTTTAGTTATGAGCTTTTAAAAATGGGCTGATTTTTGCAAATAACTTTTTTCAAAAAATGACTCTGGAGTCACTCTAAATTTTTATTACATTTTTGATACATATTGTTGTCCTTATGCTTTGTAAAAAGTTTGATCCAATTTGGTTTCATTTTTTAATTACAGCCATTTTAAAGAAATGCCAAAATTCTGAAAAGTACCCTGTATTTTGTCCAAAAAATTGTCCCAAAATCACCCCAATTTTTAAATTACATTTTCTGATACATATTGATGCCCTTATGCTATGTAGAAAGTTTGAGTTGATTTTAGCAAAAATCTTTCGAGTTATGACCATTTTTAAAAATGAGCCAAATCTGGAAAAATATAGCCTTGGGTACTTTTTTTTAATTGGCTCCGAAATCTCGCAGAATTTTTATTATATATTGTAATTCCTCTAAATATTTGGTGCTCTAAATTTGAAAATAAATATTTTGAATTTTCTACCATAATTAATTTTAAAATTCATTTTAAATATAATTGTTCCACGTGGTTCTAATTTCATCACTTACCTCTAAGTTGAATATGAGAGAAGGATACTCTAAATAGCCTGGTTAGCATACAGCTGGTGTTGTGTACTAATGGATCCCTCCAAATTGAACAAAATAATTAATTTAAAAGCTTTGTAACTACTCTCCCTCTAAAAATTTATTTTTAAAAATTAAAAATACAAAACTTGATGTGACGAATTTTAGAGGAATTACAGTATTCTGATGTACATTAATGTCCTCATTCTGTGTAGACAGTTTGAGCTGATTCTGACAAATATTTTTCAATTATAGTTATCAGCATTTAAAAAAACAAGCTACTTTTCAGGATAAAGCAAAAATAATTGAGTATTATTGCCTAGTAGTATTGCCAGGCTAGTATTTACTATTTCCTGGTCTTTGGTATTATTGCCCCTGGTATTACCATATAGGGGTTAAATTTGTATTTCAATGGAAATAAATTTTGCTAGTTTCACATTTTCATTAAATTTGCAGGTGTGGAACATATGTACATTACTAACTAGGAATTAATGATCATATGCCATATACATGTACATGTACACAATGATTAGAATAAAACTACATGTAATTGTTCAGTATTGTTCATATTTTGTCAAATATTTTATTCTTTTCTTGATTTTACATATTATGTAGTATCTACGTTACAATCTTGTTGATGGAAAGAGACTTGGCATGCTCACATGATGCTATGTCATGCTTCGCTTAGTGAACAAAAGAAGAAGCAAGTGGTCAAAAGAGTTAAGAAGAAACTTGGACCTGAACCTAATCTGGTAAAAAAGTTGCACTGTTTAATCAATAACATTTCAATCAACTAATAATATAATATTTTATTTAATAAATTTCTGATGATTAAAACTAACAAATTTCTTCTTCGTTTCTTTTTGGGGCGTTAATTTTGAAGATGTTAAAATCTTTGATCATATGATGGGTTGTCTCTCTGATATAGGCACAGCCCTGGGTATGCACTATGCAGCTGAAACCCTATAACACCTGGTAACTAGCTCCTCCTCTCTATGTTGCTCTTTTTTT